GTATATGGCAGGCGTTAACTGCTCGTGGGGTTTTGCCATCGTTACACCAGTAGCGGCTATTGATCTGAAATATTCCATAATCGGTGCTTTTGTCTCCAGGGTTGTAGTTTGTAGCTTGCGTGTTATAACCTCTCTCCCATTTGGTCAAACACATCCCTGAAAAAGTAATTTTTGTAATGAACAGCAACATAAAATGACTTACAGTGTAAACAAAAAGCAATCCATGTGTCTAACTCTGTTTTACCAACGACTTGATGTGTTTAACTTATAACTGAACACTTTAGTGAAGAAAGGCCCTTAAGAGAACCATTTTTGTAATGCAAACCAACTTCTGAAACTACTGCAGCAAGAGAAGGTGCTTTAAAAATATTAAAATAACAGTTTCTTCTTTGCTTTTACCCTTTCCCTGCTCCCATGGCTCAGGCAACATGCAGCCTTGAATAGAAAAATCAAGAGTTGATAGGCTCAGGTCTATCTGAGTCTAACAGCAAATCGGATGTTCCTTTCTTTGTTGTGGGCCTGTGAGTCACTGTAAAATCTACCATTAAGATGCTAACTGTGCTAATATGGGCAGTTTGAGTCTTCATGATTCCTGGTCTCTCTTCACAGGCCAGGGGAGAGATTCTGGGGCCCAACATGATCTCTATCAAAGGCATTGGGGAATGGGCCGGGTATGGTCTCGGGAAGTTGGAAAGAGTGGAGACTTACAGTTCGCCAAGCTGACTCCCTTGTAGCCATCCAATCCAAGTTTTTTCAGAGTTCTGGCCAACTCACACCTTTCATAGATCTTGCCCTGGACAGTGGTGGAAAGGAGAGAAGCCCCAGGATCAGGAGTGCCTTCATGTTGACTGGGAAGCAAGACCTCTATGCTGACAGGAAGAGGCAGCCCCAGTATTTAACCTCTTTCAACTTCCTTCTTCCCCAGGTGGCGTGAGGGCTCCACCCTTTGTGGAAAGCATGCTTGTTTTTCTGATTCACTGACTTGAAAGGGTTTTTTTTTTTTTTTTTTTTTAATGTTTGAAGAGAAACGGTCTGATGTCCTAAGCATTAATCTCAGTAAAATGATGAAAAGACATTGCTTAAAGATTTGTTCAGGAAGAATTGGGAAGTAGCACATTTCCAAAATAGAAGTTTTCTTCTATTTTATTAGGAGTTAAACAAATGTGAAGAAAAAAAAGGACTGTTTTATGTAACTTAAAATGAGCTGGGATTTTTTGTCTAATATTTTCATTTCCATTAAATGGTCTGTGTAAATTCCCTATTTTGTATTCATCTCCACTTAGAATTATTTGGTATATACTTTTCTAGAGAATAGACATGGCACTTGGACCTCTTGTCTCATGGGTACATAGCCTGTTATCAAGCAAGAACTCAGTCCCTAACCCCAGTGCCAATCAAAATAATGAGGCCGAGGTTTGGGATGAAGGGAAGAGAACATTTAATCTGCTGACAGATGAAAGCATGGCAGACCCCAGGGTCTCCACAACCACCACCCTCCTTCAGAGGGTTTAGAGCTTTTAAAGAACTACAGGGGAGTCAGGAATAAGAGGGACAAAGGAAAGGGCCAGCTGCATGTTGGCCCACTGGCCAGGCACCAAGGCCTGCACACTCCTTTTGTGTTTAATGCTCTGGTTGTCTGGTTGTCTGTAGAAGAAACTGAGGTAAGGAAAAAAAGCAATGTGTGCTTCAGACAGCGGTGAGTGGGAAGCCAGGAGTCCAGCCCGATGCATCACCCAGATGCTCTGCTGGTAGGGCAGTCAAGTGGCCTTTAATCAGCCTGGGGGTACATGCAGGTAGTTATTTTGTGCCCCGACCTGGGATTCCCCGGCACGGATCGGGATTTCCCCTAATGGAACCCCTGGAGAAAATACTGGCCACCCACATGTTACCCACTGAAGAAGCAAATGACCTCATGAGCTTAGAGACCGGAATCTTGGAGGGCCAGCTGTACCACTCCTCAGTTCAGTGAGTTAAGCCAAGACAGAATTTCTAGAGGACTGAGGCCTGATGGTATCTAGCCTCTGCACTCAAAGCTTTTTTTTTTTTTTTTTTTTTTTGTGGGGGCAGGCAGGGAGAGCCCAGTCCAATCATGGCATCCCAATGTTCAGCTGGTTTTCTACTTCAGACTGGTTGTATATATTTTATTATTATAAAACAGTGTTTTACAGTTACAAACAAGGGTCATATGAACAACTTTCCTAACTCCTTTTCCATAGTGACTGGCCTCCCAGTTTTATGTCAGAATGGAATAGGTCACTTTTTTAAAAAAAGATTCATTTATTTATTTGAAAGGCAGAGTTACAGAGAGGCAAAAGCAGAGAGAGAAAGAGGTTTTCCAGTTGTTGGTTCACTCTCCAGATGGCCGCAATGGCCAGGTAGAGGTAGATCCAAATCCAGGAGCCAGAAGCTTCTTCCAGGTCTCCCACATGGGCAAAAAGACCCGAGGACTTGGGCCATCTTCCACTGCTTTCCCAGGCCATAGCAGAGAGCTGGATCAGAAGTGCAGCAGTCAGGACCCGAACCAGTGCCCATATGGGATGCCGGCACTGCAGGCTGTGGCTTTACTTGCTATACCACTGCACTGGCCCCCAAAGAGGTCATTTTAAAGCAATAGAACTTTATTCAACTAAGTGTTACCTTTTAAAATACCCATCTGAGGAGGCTTTGCACATTTTTTTGGCTTGTAAGTAATTTTTTTTAAGATTTTATTTATTCATTTGAGAAGTAGCGTTACAGACAGTGAGAGGGAGAGAGAGAGAAAGGTCTTCCTTCCATTGGTTCACCCCCTAAGTAGCCGCAATGACTGGAGCTGTGCCGATCCAAAGCCAGGAGCCAGTTGCCTCTTCCAAGTCTCCCACGTGGGTGCAGGGTCCAAGCATTTGGACCATCTTCTACTGCTTTCTCAGGCCACAGCAGAGAGCAAGATTGGAAGTGGAGCAGCCGGGACCAGAACCGGTGCCCATATGGGATGCCGGTGCCACAGGTGGAGGATTAACCTACTCTGCCATGATGCCAGCCCCAGCTTGTAAGCAATTTATTTTTAAATTATAAGATTTGTAGGCCAATGCCACAGCATACCAGACTAATCCTCCGCTTGCGGCGCCGGCACCCCGGTTTCTAGTCCCGGTTGGGGCGAGGGTTTCTATCCCGGTTGCTCCTCTTCCAGTCCAGCTCTCTGCTGTGGCCTGGGAAGGCAATGGAGGATGGCCCAAGTGCTTGGGTGCTGCACCCGCATGGGAGACCAGGAGGAAGCACCTGGCTCCTGGCTTTGGATCGGCACAGCACGCTGGCCAGAGCAGCCATTTGGGGGGTAAACCAATGGAAGGAAGACCTTTCTCTCTGTCCTCTGTCTCTCTCTCTCTCTCTGTCTCACTGTCTAACTCTGCCTGTCAAAAAAAAAAAAAAAAAAAAGCCGGAGCCATGGCTCACTAGGCTAATCCTCCGCCTAGCGGCGCCGACACACCAGGTTCTAGTCCCAGTTGGGGCGCCAGATTCTGTCCCGGTTGCCCCTCTTCCAGGCCAGCTCTCTGCTGTGGCCAGGGAGTGCAGTGGAGGATGGCCCAGGTGCTTGGGCCCTGCACCCCATGGGAGACCAGGAGAACACCTGGCTCCTGGGCTTCCTGCCTTCGGATCATGCGGTGCGCCGGCCACAGCGCGCTGGCCACGGCGGCCATTGGAGAGTGAACCAACCAAAGGAAGGAAGCCTTTCTCTCTGTCTCTCTCGATCTCACTGTCCCACTCTGCCTGTCAAAAAACAAAAAAAAGATTATAATGATTTGATTACTCAAAATAGCTATTGGAAATCAAGCACATCACAGACAAAGAAAGTTGAGTTTTTGACTATCAGCCTGAAGCCATCTTTCTAAGTATCTGACATCCAACCATGTCTCATGTCGAAAAGAGAGTATCTCACACTTTCACTTCCAGGCTTAGTTCCTAGTTTTCCAATTTTAGGAAGTGTAATGTAATTTGACTTCAAATCCCATTACACTTAGTGTTATATTGCAACAGCAGCAGATTTCACATGGAACAAGAGCACGGCTTTTAGCTTTTAGCCACATACAGAAATTATATACCACATTCAGTACAGTAGAGTACACTATATTAACAAGCGCAAGTTTAGTAAACTTAATGCATTGTTGCTGTATCTTTCCCTCTAAACTGAACCAGCTGAGCTTCTGAGCAGACAGATTGCTGCTATGGAGAGTAAGACTGCTGTGGGGGCTCAGGGAAGGGACATGAAGGTTGCTGGGGTCCTGGGTGATACACTGGAGGAAACAGCACGTTATACCTGCTGAGGGTGAAAAGATTATAGTCCATGGGCATGGAAGTTTGGCAACATCCAGGATATCCTGGATGCGGTGGATGCTGGGCCTGTGGAGGAGGGGCTGAGCCAGGGGTTTATGTGACAGCTGGTGCAAGATCCCAGTCCCCACAGGAGCCAGAGCAATAGCTATTTTGAAAGAGTTTTACAATGAGCTACTGCTGAAATCCTGGTCAAGTTCCAGAACAAATGCAATCATACAGTATTTGCATGGAAGACAGGAAGAGGGGAACTCTTCCAGGATTTGCAACAAAGCATTGCCTGAGAACCTAGCGCTCCTTCAGTCCCTACACTTGCCTATCAGTGTTCTCCAGCAGGAGGACATGCCAGCTCCCCGACCCCAGCACCAAGAAACATGCTGCCTCCTAAGCCCAGGCCCCGGCCTCTACCACCTGTGCTTGCAGCAAGTAGTGCTCCTTCTGCACATTTTTAAAAGCGATGCAATCAGCACTCCAGAGAAACTGTCCTTCCAGATCAACCTATGAAGACAGATTCTGAGCCACACAAGAATACCATCACTTTGTAGCTATCCTTATTTTTCATCAGCGACAGTCTCTTTCTCTTTGGCCTTTACAGACTGTCAGTATTGGCTATGACTGCTGGACCCTGTCCAAAAACCAAGTATGACTCTATGTATTAGGCCAGGCCTAATTTTGAAACAGTGAGACAGATTTTTCAGGACGCAAAGAGACAAAAAAGGAGCTAAAAGAGTTCATCTCTAGTCTCTTATATATTCTTCTAAACTCAAGGGCAAAGAACATCCAGTTATTACCTAAGCTGGTTTCAGCCTCTGACAATGAGATTCGCTCTTCTTTTCAAATGTTTGGAGAGTTATAGTCTAATTTCTTAGAGTGGAATAAACAAATATTTGGAAACTGAGAGCATAATAATATGTAACTATTTAAAGAGGTGTTTTAGTCCCTTTAACTCTGAGATTATAGGGCCTCTAAAAGGCCTGAACCCCATGGAAGAGAAACACTCAGTAGACTTATCTGAGTGGCGGCACTGAGCTATTACTATTATTGATTAGCTTAGTTTGGTGTGGGTGAAGTGCACATCTGGAGCAACCCTGAGCTATCCTTTGTTCTTTGACAATACATTTCTTATCTATTCTCAGAAATATTCTCCCTAATGTTAATAGGGACCTTTTCTTTTTCTTTTTTTTAGAGAGGCAGAGTGGACAGTGAGAGAGAGAGACAGAGGGAAAGGTCTTCCTTATGCTGTTGGTTCACCCTCCAATGGCCGCCGTGGCCGGCGCGCTGCGGCTGGCGCACTGCGCTGATCCGATGGCAGGAGCCAGGTGCTTCTCCTGGTCTCCCATGGGTGCAGGGCCCAAGGACTTGGGCCATCCTCCACTGCACTCCCTGGCCACAGCAGAGAGCTGGTCTGGAAGAGCGGCAACCGGGACAAAATCTGGCGCCCTGACCGGGACTAGAACCCGGTGTGCCGGCGCCGCAAGGCAGAGGATT